GATGGTCATCGATGACCTCATCAAACCTCGATTTGAGGCCATTTTGGGTCAATTTGGGGCAACTCTTGAGGTTCTCCATGGTCCCATGGATCTCCCTTCGCTATGGGGCGCACCTGTGGGTCAGCTATGGGGCAGGGATGAAAATCTTTGGGAAGTTGGGGTGGATTTATGGCCAAGTCAAGGTTGGATGGTCATTGATGACCTCATCAAACCTCGATTTGGAGCCATTTTGGGTCAATTTGGGGCAACTCTTGAGGTTCTCCATAATCCTATGGATCTCCCTTGGCTATGGGGCGCACTTGGGGGTCAGCTATGGGGCAGGGAGGTAGTTATGGGACAGTGGGGTTGGATTTATGGCCAAGTCAAGGTTGGATGGTCATCGATGACCTCATCAAACCTCAATTCGGGGCCATTTTGGGTGGATTTCTGCCTAGTTTTGAGGTTCTCCATGGTCCCATGGATCTCCCTTCGCTATGGGGCGGGCTATGGGGCAGGGAGGGGGATTATGGGGCAGTGGGGTTGGATTTATGGCCAAGTCGAGGTTGGATGGACCATGATGACCTCAGATGGTCATCGATGACATCATCAAACCCTGATTTGGGGCCATTTTGGGGGGATTTTGGGCACCTCTTGAGGTTCTCCATGGTGAGATGGATCTCCCTTGGCTATGGGGCGCACTTGGGGGTCAGCTATGGGGCAGGGAGGTGGGTTATAGGGCAGTGGGGTTGGATTTATGGCCAAGTTGAGGTTGGATGGTCATCGATGACCTCACCAAACCCCGATTTGGGGCCATTTTGGGTGAATTTTGGGCGAATTAGGGGCACCTCTTGAGGTTCTCCACCATCCCCCGGATCTCCCTTGGCTATGGGGCGCACTTGGGGGTCAGCTATAGGGCCAGGAGGAGGGTGATGGGGCAGTGGTCGCTCCCCAGGACGCGGGAGCGGATCTTGCTGTCGCAGAGCGCCCCCTCCAGGCGACGGGAGAGGAGGAAATAATCCAACCTCCAACCCACGTTACGCTCCCGGGCGCCCCCTAAGTAGGTCCAGAAGGTGTAGGCGTGGGGCAGGGTGGGGTAGAGGTGACGGAAGGAATCCAAGAAGCCCGACTCCAGGAGCTGCCCCATCCCCTCCCGCTCCTCCAGGGTGAAGCCGGCCGAGCGGCGGTTGGCCTTGGGGTGGCAGAGGTCCAGCTCCTGGTGGGCCACGTTGAGGTCCCCGCAAAGGGCCACGGGCTTGAGGGCGTCCAAGCGGGTGAGGTAACCCCTGAAGGCCGCGTCCCAGCGGCGCCGATAGTCCAGGCGCACCAGGCCCCGCCCCGAGTTGGGGACGTAGGCGGCCACCACGTAGAGGGAAGGGAACTCGGCCGTCACCACCCGGCCCTCGCGGTCGTGCTCCTCCTCACCTGGGGGGGGAAACTGGAGTCAATTGGGGTCAACTGGGAGGGAGAATGAGGCAACTGGAAGCAGCAAAAGTCAACTGGAAGAACCCAAAGTCAACGGGAAGAACCCAAAGTCAACGGGAAGAACCAAACGTCAACTGGAAGGTCAACTGAAGGCAACCAGGGTCAACTGGGAGAGAGTAGGAGGCAACTGGAAGAACCAAAAGTCAACTGGAGGCAACTGGGGCCAACTGGGAGGGAGTAGGAGGCAACTGGAAGAACCAAAAGTCAACTGGAAGAACCCAAAGTCAACGGGAAGCAGCACAAGTCAACTGGAAGGTCAACTGGGGTCAACTGGGAGGGAGTAGGAGGCAACTGGGGGCAACTGGGGGCGACTGGGGGCAACTGGGGGCGACTGGGAGGGAGGAGGTAACCCCTGAAGGCCGCGTCCCAGCGGCGCCGATAGTCCAGGCGCACCAGGCCCCGCCCCGAGTTGGGGACGTAGGCGGCCACCACGTAGAGGGAAGGGAACTCGGCCGTCACCACCCGGCCCTCGCGGTCGTGCTCCTCCTCACCTGGGGGGGGAGAGAGGGGAAGGGGGTGAGTGGGAGGGAGTAGGAGGCAACTGGGAGCAACTGGAGGCAACTGGGAGGAAGTAGGAGGCAACTGGAAGAACCCAAAGTCAACGGGAAGAACCCAAAGTCAACAGGAAGAACCACAAGTCAACTGGAAGGTCAACTGGAGGCAA